TATGTCTACATTTAGAAAATATCTCATTACGAAGATTCAGCAGCTCATCTCGATTCTTATCTTTGATAATGAAGATTTTTTCCGCCATGCACAGATCACACCGATCGCGGAAGTTATTAGGTGTTCTGGCTTTTGATAGGTATCTCCATTTCAAAATTGGGTTTAATTCCTTATCCACCAGTTATCCATATATATATATATATATATATATATATATATATATATATATATATATATATATATATATGTATGTATATATCAATAGGAAGCTATGATTTTGTTTTACATTTTTATAGTCCTGTATGTTATATTGAGGAAAAAGTAATTCGTTCGGGAACGGAGATATTGAGTAAAATTCGGTGCGCCATTTTATATTTTGATAAGATCCCACAGTAAAGGTGCGAGGTATGTATGAACTTCAGTCCTCATTGGGCACTCCATTATTGTATTTTCTCGTTGACTAATCAAAAGCTCGGGAGAGAAGAGTTAGAGCGCCTGCAATAATGATGAGGGTTTAGAAGACATTCTCTTATAAAAAAAAAATTGTGTAGACTTCAATCCTCATTGGGGACTTAATTATTATATTTTTTGGCACACTAATCAAAAGCCGAGGAGAAATTATTTAGAGCGCCTGCAATATTGACGAGGATTTGAAGACGTTCTCTTATAAAAAAAATTATTGTATAGACTTCAATCCTCATTGGGGACTTAATTATTACATTTTGTCGGCACACTAATGAAAAACTGGGAAGAAATTATTTAGAGCACCTCGAATAATGAGAATTTGGAGATATTCTCTTATAAAATTATTATTGTATAGACTTCAATCCTCATTGGGTACTTATTATATTTTGTCGTCAGATTAATCAAAAAGTGATGAGAAATTAGGTAGACCGTCATTCTCTCATACAACTGCTTGTTTATGAATGTCTATCCTCATTGGGAACTTATTATTTGACGGCAGACTAATAAAAAGCTGATGAGAAGTTAGACCGCCTGCAATGATGATGAAGGATTTGAAGACATTCTTTTATAAAGTTTTATTGTATAGACTTCAATCCTCATAGGGCACTTATTATATCTTGTCGGCAGACTAATCAAAAAGAGAGGAGAAATTAGTTAGACCCTCATTCTCTCATACAACTTCTTGTGCATGAATGTCTATCCTCATTAGGAACTTATTTGATGGCAAACTGATGGAAAAGTGAATAATAATGTTATATGAGTTAGGAATAAAATTTCTCATACGCGTTTGGTCTTCACTGACTTCTCAATCTAGGAGAAATCTTTTATGAGTTCTGTGGTTAGAAACGATGTATACTGCGCATGTTTCATTCTTTTGTTTCTACCATTTTAAAAAAAAAATCTTATCAGGTTATTGCCTCCTCGCTAAACAAATGAATTTCGATAACGTACAAAAAAAAGATATGCCTTTTGTCTAACGACTATACAAGGAGGTCGTGAGAGGGGCTCACCTGCATCGTCAAGCGGTGACCTTTGACGGGTCACCCTGTCCCACGCCAACAGAATATTCCACGTGGAATGTTTCGTTGATTCTGTTCAGGCAACTTCATTCACTTTCCGAATAATCAAACATTTATTACTCACAATACGTTGTCAGGCGGACGATGTATTTGATCACCAAGGAGTTGATTCAATTAGAAGAATATTTCTATTAAATTAACAGCAGCACAAGGACAGATATTAAAATTGACAAAACAAGGATCTCATTCTCTCAATCTTTACACACACACACACACACACACACACACACACACACACACATATATATATATATATATATATATATATATATATATATATATATATATATATATATAAATTCTATGGATATGAGTTTGTCACCCTGGGTTTCACGTAGATCTATTTATGTTTGTTTGACTAAGTTTGGTGTGTGTGTGTGTGTGGGGGGATCTACTACTTTCTTTGGGGTAGCACAATCATATGCATAGACACATATATGCAGGTGTACGCATTTTAGTTCACACCAACATATATATGACTGTGTGTGTGTGTGTTTTTATCTATTTATATAAATAGATATATAATGAACTGATATTGATATATATATATATATATATATATATATATATATATATATATATACAGAATGAATTGTTATCTATCTATCTATTTATCTCTGTCTGTCTGTCTGTCTCTCTCTCTATACATACATACATATATATATATATATATAATTTTATGACCTACTTATCTATCTGCCATCTATGTATTTCAGTGTTCTTTATTACGTGCTTTTTAATCTATCTATCTATCTATCTATCTATCTATCTATCTATCTATCTATCTATCTATCTATCTCAGCCTGTTCGTATCTATCTATCTATCTATCTATTTATCTATCTATCTATCTCAGCCTGTTCGTATCTATCTATCTATCTATCTATCTATCTATCTATCTATCTATCTATCTATCTATCTATCTATGTATCTATCGTAGCCTGATCGTATCTATCTATCTATCTATCTATCTATCTATCTATCTATCTATCTATCTATCTATCTATCTATCTATCTATCTATCTATCTATCGTAGTCTGATCGTATCTATCTATCTATCTATCTATCTATCTATCTATCTATCTATCTATCTATCGTAGCCTGATCGTATCTATCTATCTATCTATCTATCTATCTATCTATCTATCTATCTATCTATCTCAGCCTGTTCGTATCTATCTATCTATCTATCTATCTATCTATCTATCTATCTATCTATCTATCGTAGCCTGATCGTATCTATCTATCTATCTATCTATCTATCTATCTATCTATCTATCGTAGCCTGATCGTATCTATCTATCTATCTATCTATCTATCTATCTATCTATCTATCTATCTATCTATCTATCTATCTCAGTCTGTTCGTATCTATCTATTTCGCTACATCCATAGTTCAGAACCAATCCAGTCGTCGCGTTGGGAAATATGTCACAATATACCCCTCCCCCAATAACAGCTGTAGGGGTTCGAAACCCGGAGATGACCTTGTTACAATAGCTGATTTGTCACTCTGCATGAATCTCCCATTTTCCCTATGAAATCTTTACACTTTCCCAGCTGAAGCAGTCAAGGGTTGTGCGCAGTTGGCAAAAAGGCGTCACAAACTATCGATTTCCCTTTATCAATTCTAAAAGGAGACGCTAGATAGATAGAGATGTCTTTTATAAGATAGATAGAGAGAAACAGGCTAACATAGATAGATAGATAGATATGAACAGGCTTCGATAGATAGATAGATAGATAGATAGATAGATAGGAACAGGCTTAGTTAAATAGATAGATAGATACATAGATAGGAACAGGCTTAGATAGATAGATAGGAACTGGCTTAGATAGATAGATAGATAGATAGATAGGGACATGCTTAGATAGATAGATAAATACGAAAAGGCTTAGATAGATAGATAGATAGATAGATAGATAGATAGATAGATAGGAAAAGGCTTAGATAGATAGATAGATAGATAGATAGATAGATAGATAGATAGATAGGAACAGGCTTAGTTAAATAGATACATAGATAGGAACAGGCTTAGATAGATAGATAGGAACAGGCTTAGATAGATAGATAGATAGATAGATAGATAGATAGATAGATAGGGACAGGCTTAGATAGATAGATAGATAGATAGATAGATAGATAGATAGATAGATAGATAGATAGGAAAAGGCTTAGATAGATAGATAGATAGATAGATAGATAGATAGATAGATAGATAAATAGGAACAGGCTTATATAGATAGATAGATAGATAGATAGATAGATAGATAGATAGATAGATAGGAAAAGGCTTAGATAGATAGATAGATAGATAGATAGATAGATAGATAGGAACAGGCTTAGATAGATAGATAGATAGATAGATAGATAGGGACCTGGCTTACATTGATAAATAGATAGAAAGAAAGAATGTTTCAGTAGACCCTTGTAGATATACAGCCAAATTTTACTTTGACAATACTTTCACAATAAAATTAAATCTCAAGTTAAGCTGTTAAAAAAAAGTGTTTTATATACCATGTTGGGTGCTGAAAAAAAACCCCCAAAACAAGAAGCCAAACTCCTCAATTAAATTTGATCATTTAGGCTGATCTTGGGAAATGGGTTAAACAAAGAATGTTTCAGTAGACCCTTGTAGATACACAGCCAAATTTTACTTTGACAATACTTTCACAATAAAATTGATATTAACCAAATAATGTTAAGATATATGAGCAATGAATGATATAAATTCCAGCTGATAAATGTCCTTATTAAAATATTGATAAAAGCTGACATTCTTCTTCCTAGAACAAGTAGTTGTTATGCAAACAAATTGCAGCATAAATTTTCTGTATAAATCCCTAAAATATAGAGCATAGAAACATTTGATTAATAGAATATTCCATAGACTTCAATGAATTTTATCTTTGTGTTAATTTGGCATAACCTCATTACCATTATTATTTTTTTTTTTAAATTTTCTACTGTTTCAACTTTAGCCTTACAGTAGTTTTGTTTCTTGGAGATATTTACTTAAATATTTTTCCAATCTCATACTTTACAAGTTTTCTATTGGATTAATGTATGGAGTGGCTTGTGGACATTGTAATGATATGGCATGTTTAAAACCTTTTTTTGGCAAGGTGGGTAATATTCAAATTGCATAATGTGAAATTACATTGTCTTGAAGTCATATATTTTCTTTTTAATCTTTATTAGCTTAAAGCTTCTTAGTCAATGATTTGCTGGAAAAATCATGTCCTGGAAATTATAATTCTCTGCATTTATCTTCAACCATTATCATCTGGCAAGATGTCTATAGTTTTACTGCCTATAATATAATACCCAAAACCTTGTACCAGTTCTCATTTGGTTATGCTGGTTTTACTATTTCCATTAAGGACACAACCTCTTCTCCATATCAAATGTAGCTATATTCATCGCTAAATAATGGTCACTTACGACTACAATATCACCTTGAAATACTATTTCCCATATGAACACCAAAGTTAAGCAACATCGACCCTGGTCAGTACCTAGATTGGTGACTGTTTTGGGAATACCAGGTGCTGTAAGCTTGGATGTGTTGATGGTATAATGGATAATGGCTTGGAATTGTTAATCGGGGAGCTGAGTTCCAATTCCAGTTAGGTTTGTTATATTCACTTACATACAAATACTCTTGGGAAAGTGTTGAGGGGCCCTCCCCTTTTTACACAAATGGACTCACCCAGTATATACATATACTACGGCTACGTGAAGACCCAAGAGACAAGAGCAGCAAAAGGGGGAGAGCGAAAGGTTGTAGGTAACCGGAAGAGTGAGAGTAAGGTAACAGACAGACAGAATGAAAGTAGCGACCAATAGTCACCGTGAGCGAGCACGTAGACTCAGTAAGAAGTCATACAGCGATACTTCAATACTAAAGACTGTATAGATATTTTGCTACTAACCCGTATTCCTGGAACTACTAACCTGCTTTACCAGTTTGTATTATTACGTTAATACATTTATTTTCCTATATTCATTCTTGGCGTTTGTTATTTATTAGTACCGGATTTCATCCCGGAATCCACAACAGAAAGGTATAAATCCACCCCCTTCCTCCCACACCAGCTTGTGGACATTGTAATGATATTCCATACACTTGAATGAATACGCTATGAAACAGTAAATATGTATTAAACAGTTTTGAGAATTAATACCATTATTACTTTGAGCTTTGTCATCTACCTCAAAATTAAATCTTGGCAATTTGCTCTTTTGTAAAAATTTTCAAACAACAATTTTTCTTTTTGAACATGTTTTTATTTTTTATATAGTAATTATTAATTGAAGAAATAAGATGCTGTCATTTTTCCATTACGTGGAACACAGATAATATTACATCCCCCGCCTAGTGTCTATATGGACCCTGGTGGTGGTGGGGGGGCATGTAATAACAGATATGAACAGGGACAAAAAGGACAGAGATGATGTGTAAATGAGAGTAGTTGAATCTATCCCAGTTTAGTCTATTCGTATCTATCTATCTATCTATCTATCTATCTATCTATCTATCTATCTATCTATCTATTCGTACCTCTAGTCTATTCGTATCCATATCAACCTATTCGTATCTATCTATCTATCTATCTATCTATCTATCTATCTATCTATCTTAGTCTATTTGTATCTATATCAACCTATTCCTATCTATCTATCTATCTATCTATCTATCTATCTCAGTCTATTCGTATTTATATAAGTTTATTTGTATCTATCTATCTATCTATCTATCTATCTATCTATCTATTCGTATCTATATCAGTCTATTCGTATCTATCTATCTATCTATCTTATTTATTCGTATTTATATAAATTTATTCGTATCTATCTATCTATCTATCTATCTATCTATCTATCTATCTTAGTCTATTCGTATCTATATCAGCCTATTCCTATATATCTATCTATCTATATAGCTAGCTAGCTAGGTAGCTCAGTCTGTCATCTGTCTGTCTATCTATCTATCTGATACTTTTATAACAACATATATATAAATAGACAAATTTTCGACTCAAACACAAATCATAAATAATAAGGCAATGTTCTCCAGACTTTAAAGAACGAAGGACTACCTTAAATTGAGCTAAAATTAATTATTTAATTTTACCAGTGCTCATATTGCAATTTTTGCTGTTAACATTGCATATTTTTACCAGAGCTCATATTGCAATTTTTGTTTATATTATTGCATGTCTCTGGCACTCCTTGTTACTGGTTCCCATATTGTATTCATTTCTATGCTTGGTCGGCTCAGGAGATTTTTGTGGCCTAGCATATGTGCTGATTCCTTAAGTTTTATATGAAGACGATAGTCCGAATAATGTAAAGTCTGGGTATCATAGCGAAGAGATTATCCAAACAGTTACCACGAAAACATTTATAGAAACGGCAGAGGGGAGCAGCTTTACGGTGGTTGGAAAGATACGGAAGCTGAGATGCTAGGTCAGGACTAATAATATTGCTGATTCTTATTTGGATTTTATCAAGAATCTCCAAATATACACTGGACCATATGTGGCAAGAATATTCTACTCATGGACGAGTGGTAGAAAAATCGTCTAGCACGACACAGGGAACCAACTTTCTCAGCTGTAGACCTAGCAATTGATTCAATATAATCTTTCCGCTTCATATCAGCCGAAAATGTTAGCTCGGGAAGGCGCATCGAGTCACTCTACTGGAGGTTAGCATCAGCCATGCCGATGGAAGGAAGAAAGGACTATCGGTGATTAATAGAGAGCAGTTTTGTTTTGGAGGCGTTAAAATTAACAAGCCATATCTTGCCCCAGTTAACAACAGACTGTAGGACATTTTTGTTAAATCAGCTACCAATTTGACCTTATCGAAACGATCAGAGTTACTATCGAAGCAGGAGGGTGTGCCGAGCTGCAATTAGGTACCCTGGGATGTTTTATTTTGAAGAGAAACGTGGTTAGGTTATAGCAATAACTTGCTATCTATTCTACCACTGAATCGACTCGGAATTGTAGAGATCGGAAAGCGGTGTTCCAATTCCAGTCAGGTTCGTTATATTCACTTGGAAAAGGTATGAGATCATCTCTTCTCCCCATGCTATGGGTTGATTATTAAGACGTATATCAGAAAATTATTATTATTTCAAAAGGATTCTTACGATCTAAAATATTGTCCGGAATTAAATAACTTACAAAAGGTTGATAACCCGTAAAAATATAATTACTTCTACTTATATGTGTCGTGTCCCTTGGTGTTATAGTGGAACACACCTATTCTATTGTTAAGAGACTCTCCCACATATAATAAGTAGGAATAGTAGGAGTCGCTCAGGGAGTTGGTCAGTCAGTCGACTGGCCGATCGGTTGAACTCTCTGCCTTCGGGCGGGGAGGAACCCGAACGAGGCTACGCCGAATGGCGGAGGCTCTTTCGGGGAGGTAAACCGACCCAGAACCCGTTTATACGCGTTCAATGGGCATATTTTTGGCCGAGCCCACGGGCTCGGAGATCCCATGTTAAACCGACCTTGTGCCACATGACGCCCTCGTGTGTGTGGGGGGAGTGACTAAATATCGTTGGTCAGTCAGTCGATGTCGGACGACCGGTAATCGGATATTAAAGTATCAGCCACCACAACTAGATTACTATTATATCAAGTTCCTAACATTTTGTACGTCGAACCTATTTTTAGGACCGACTTAGTACAAATACAAGCCTCCACTGTGAAAACCACTTTACAACACTTGGTCAGTGCCCAGATGGGTGACCGCTTGTGAATAGCAGGTGCTTTAAGCTTGGACGTGTGAATGGTATAAAAGATAATGGTATTAACAAGGTCTTTCGGTTCCGTCTTTTGTGAATAATACAACGTACGTTCTAACTTCCCCACATGCTAAGATCCCTTTTTGTGCGTTATTACCACGCATGCAAGTGCATTTTGCGGAGATATGTAGGTGTTTTTTTTTTGTAGGAAATGCAGTTGTACGTGAGCAACAACGCCCCCCAGCGCCCTGCATGCAGCGAACAATGCATGGGCTTCCTTGGCTTAAAACCGCGCAGAGTTTTGTTCCTGCTATGAAGGGCGATTGAACGCGAAAGACTCATTCTTTGATGCGAAAGAAAGAAAAAGCGCATATTATCATAATAATTAATAGCGTATTACCCGTAAAAAATGACAGGATATATTACGTATAGACTGGTATTTTGCGAAATCAACGTGTCACTGTGTTTAATATCGTTGCATTCTGTCCAAAGTGTCACACAAACACGAATGAACGACTGGCTGGAGAAAAAAAAAAAAAAAAAGGGAAAAATAATGACATTATGGGAAGGCAATACATGTGCAGAGATTTCATTTGTCTCGTTCTGATTGTAAGTATAATTGTTCTTTTCGTTTCCGTTTTCCTTAAAACATTTTGCTGTCCGGGGAATTCTCAGCATCCTCCAGTCTCTTCTTCATCTGTGGTGATATTGTCCAGTATCCACTACCATATAGGGGAAATGATATTACATAGCTGTTCACCATTCTCCTCTTTGTTTCTAAAGAACTTTTCCTGTTTCTTAATATTTTGCTTAGCTTCTGGAAGGCATCTTTTGCTATGAGTGCTACAGTTATTATTATTTGTTTAGTTTCATTATTATTTTTCTATTATTGCTGTTATTGTTGTTACTTTTCCGCTACTATGAAGATCCTTACTATCATTCTTCTCTTCTCCTTGATGAGAGTACTATTTATCAATATCGCTTAATATTTTGGGCCAGCACTTAATGGATTACGACCGGTCCCACCCTGCTGCAGAATGGGATACCTGCCGGGCGCGCACCTTACCCCTGTTGGTTTTAGTCCCGTTCACACTGTTACTTAAATTATTCCTAACTAGCAGCATGGGCCGGCGTTGCCCGTGCATGATTCAAAAATCGTACGAGTCATACAGCAATCGCTATCACTTGACTCAAAATATTTATACCCTTCCTTGCCTTTAAAGGAGTGCCCTTTGTCGTGCTGATGTTGCTGCATGCCTTACTTCTTGCCTATCTCACACTGCGAATTTTTTCTAAGCTCTATACTAAACATTAAATCTGTGACGAAAAAAGAACTAAACAAAATGAACACAAAACGATCAGCTTTAAAAAAGGACTCGTAACTGCAAAAACCGAATGAAAAAAGAATGTTAACAACAAATACTTTTTCACACCCAACCCAGTTCTGCGGAATCAGAATCAACGTTGAGTTTAAGCAAGCGAATAAGCCAACTGGAGTAAAGTGCCATGCAGATTTAAATTTTTCCCACTTGTGACGAATGCAGCTATCGATTTTTTTGCATGCTAGTTAATATTCGTGTCAGTCATCTGTTGACTCTCACGCTGGCCAATAGAATCTTCCTGCCTATTCGTGGCAGCCAGATACTGGCTCCCACTCTGGCCAGTACAAAATGGCCGCAAACTACATGAAAACTTCCGTAGAAGCATGAAAAATCGATTATTTCCACTATCGATGGGAGTTGGGAAATGCAAAGTCGGTCTTGGCCTTCGCGCTAACTTGGAGCATGTGCAT